CGATTTGCTCTAACCATTTGGGTTCTATTAGTTAGATAGCTGCCAATCCATTGCAGTAATACCCCACCCAGACCATATTTGTTGAGCTTTTGAAGTAGGAGAATATGGTTAACCCTGTCAAAAGCCTTGGAAAAGTCAGTATAGACGGAATCGATTTGTAAACCTTCATCCAAGGCTACTGACAAGAAGTCGATATAAGTGATTAAATTTAACTCTGTTGATTTTCCAGCACAAAAACCATATTGTTTTTCAGTTATGAAGCCGGAGCAATCATAAGTAAGGTAATCAGTTATAATGTTTTCAAACAATTTAGGTATTATGCTGAGAATTGAGATGGGTCGATAATTTTTGATGTCAGATTTGCTACCCGATTTGTATATTGGGATAACATGAGAAAGTTTCCAATAATCGGGAAACTCTCCTGTGTCGATTGATTTGTTGAAAATATGAAAAAGAGGGCGAGACAGTATGAAGCTGCAATTTCTTAGTAGGATGGGAGGAATAGTGTCAGGGCCTGGCCCTTTTTTATATCAAGGTTTGACAGTTTATCGTAAATGGTCGAAATTGGGATGTAGTATGAAGAAACATTAACTTTAGATTCAATTTGGCAATCGTTTAAATTTAGGATATGTGTGGTGTAGAGTGACGAAAAATGCCTTGCAAACAGATTAGCTACTTCACTGCCGCAACATGCAAGAGAGTTCTCCAAATTCATTTTATCAGGTATGCTGTTATTTGCTCTTTTACTATTAACAAAATTCCAAAATGATTTAACGTTAGTCTTAATAGAGGTTTCAACAGAATTTATATAATTTGAATAGCATTCTCTAGATAAAAGCTTACATTGTGCTCTTAACTGACTAAATATTTCATAATTATGGGTAATCCTGTTATGTTTATAAATCCTGTGAACAACCTTTTTATCATTAACCAAGCTCCTAAGCTGCGAGGAATACCAATATAGAAATTTTTTCGTAGAAACTGTCCTAATGGGAACAAAAAACTCAATTACGGAAAACAGAGCGTCATAAAAAATGGAAATCATCTCGGAAAGTTCCTTATCTCGAAGAAGCCCGTCCCAATCCATGTCTTCCAAATATTGACGTATACCCGTGAAATTAACGTTGCGAAAATCATAATAACACTCATCACCGGGAGCCACACTTTTGTTCAACATAAATTGTACTGTTGTTTCCAGAGGAGGGTGATGCGCATCAGGTGAGATCAAAATGTCGTCGGCCAGGAGCACTGTTAGTTCAACAGGGGACAGAACTAGGTCAAGAATAACACCCCTTGTGCTAAAGACATTGTTAGACTGGAAGATATTGTACAATGCACATATATTCGAGACTATTTCGATAGCACTTGCTTCAGCCAATGAAGATGTGGGTTGAGCTGTAGCTGAAGAACAGAAATCTTCAATTTGCCATATTGTCGTAGGTAGATTGTAATCTCCAAACAGGTAAAACTGACTGCCTGGATATTGCTCGTTTAGGATTAACAGTTGATCATAATGAAGTTGATATAGGTTAGCATGAGATTTGGGAGGAATGTATATGGTACCTAAGATGTATTTGCACTTACTTTGGTCCAGGTGAATAAACAGTTGCTCGATTGAAGGGTTTGAGTTGATAATACTTGAAGAGAATTTTTTCTTATCAGCAATTAAAACACCACCTCCTCTGCTAAAAATGATTCTCGGGGTTGTACGATCCTGTCTGTAGATGTTGTAATCGTGTAGGCCAAGTTCGGCATCGTTAATCTCGTCGGTAAGCCATGTTTCCGTAAGAACAATTACATCGTATGAACAGTTTGAGACATTAAGACTTAATTGATATAGTTTGGTTCGAAGGCCTCTTACGTTTTGATAATAAATAGACAGCTTGCCCGGATTTACTAGTTTTTTTGAATTATCGTAGGAGTACTGTTGACATATTTTATTGTTAAATCTTGTTCGCCAGCTTGCTGCCTCTGCAGTAACTCTCCTCTGAGAGTTTCCAGGGTTTTCCTCTGGTTGATAGTTTGGTCAAGGTGTATAAAGATCTTTTTTTCCCGAGCAATATTGTTTTTATTTTTTATAATTTGGTGCACGTCCCGAGGGGATTTCATGACAACTTTTAGAGGTCTATGCTCATTTTTATTCTTCTTCCCAAAGCGATAAACTTTAACGTGATTAAAATTTTCAGTACTTGCACCAGCGGCTTTTATTATGGTTTTGACCTGATTTACATCTTCTAAAGTATTGATAGGCTCTGGAAAGTTGAAGATCAGCAGGCTATTGGCCCTCTTTTGACGTTCATAAAGTGCTTTAATGATTTCATCACTGCTTGTCCCGGTATCATTTTTACTATCCTTGAGCTTCCGAATTCCAACTTTCAATTTGTTAACTTCAGAGCTGAGGATGTCAATCTGTCTTAATAGCGTGGGCACACTTTTGAAGGCCAGGCGGCAATCGTTACAAAAATAAACCAAAGTTCTTTTTTGCAAAACCACAGCTCGAAGTTCAGATGCTCCCAGGCCAGTACAGTCCTCACTGGGATGCATTGTCACATGACAACTGTCGCAAGCTTATCACTAAGAACATCACCACACGTATTACAGTTGCCAGCCATTTGAAGTTGGGTAAGGATCCTTACTGCTAAATCCAATTATTAAAATTGATTAAAATTTGGCTATGTGCCACCTGACTATTAGTGAGTATTTGAAGTCGACGGCTATTATCAGAAGCAAGTTTTTGTGGATAGTGTTTGCAATTTATTTATTGATAATGATATAGACGAATGCAGGGAATTAATCAATCAACGTATTAGATACATATGTTGGATAACTACAAATTTTTAACTAACTTGAAGGAAACTTCCTGGACTATACCACTCATTGAAATATGAACCAATGAAAACGCTCGATTTTCCATAGTTATCATGTATTACAACGGTTATTTACTTATTATGACGCAGATCGAATATTCGAACCCTTGTATAATCGAATATACAAGAGTTCGAATATTCACTTATGTCAAAACTCGAGGGATAGGTAACTGTGATCTCCATTTCAAAATTTGACAGTTGTCAATTTTGATCATGGCTCGGTTTAGCAATATTTCTACGGAATTAATTGATAAAATTATTGAAAATAGTAAACCAACCAACACGGTAAAAACCGAATCATTCGTTTCGCGACAATTTGAAAAGTTTTGTGATGACCGCAGTTATCAGTTAACTGAAAATACTTCTAATGAAGAACTTTGCAACATTCTTAAAGATTGGGCAATCAACATGAGAAAAGCCGACGGCACCGACTACAAGGAAGGTGTAGTGAAAACTATTTGGAATCTTACTGCCAAAAGAGTGCAGCAGAAATACTTCAAAGAGTTTAATCGCACCATCGATCCATTTAAAGATATTGTTTTTCGCACTGCGGTACTCGCGAAAAACGCCAAACGCAAACAACTTCAAGCTATTCCGTCAAAAAGAAAGAGTAGCTCTATTGCATTAAATAGATATTGAGAAAATTCTAAATGCATTAGATGAAAATACACCCTCCGGACTCCAGCGTAAATTTTATCATATTGCAGCCATAGAACTAGCCTGGCGTGGTGGTGAGGCTGTGTCAGCTCTTTTAGACTATTTTGTGGAAGAAACAGACAACTACGGCAAGAAAACAGGACGTATTGAATATAATACTGTTTTTTCCAAAACTGCCCAAGGAGGAAATCAACGAACTACTGATAGTAAATGGTTAACTCCAAATACACAAAACCCCACTCATTGTCCTGTTAGATTGTACAATAAAATGATGAGCAAACGGACCAAAAATATAAAAACCAGACGTCTATTTCTTACTGTAAATAAAGACTGGGACAAATATCCGACTAGTTGCTGGTATAAAAATTGTCCACTTGGAGTAAACGAAATTAATAAATGGACAAAACTGTCTGCAGAAGCTATAGGAATCGATACAAAAAAAGGTAAAAATAACCAATCATTCTAACAGATCGACCGCAATAAGTGGATTATCAAAAGCAGGCACTAGTGTCCAAGAAATTATTAAAATTACGGGTCATACTTCAGAGCATTCAATACAACCATACCTGCAGTTAAATGAGGACCATCATAAGAACATTATATCAAATTTAAGAAATGAGACAACTACAACATCCTCCACTCTTTGCTCTACAAGTGCCGTGGCTCCAATGTCAAATAATGTTTTTAATAATTGTACGTTCAATATAAGTAATAAATAAATTTAAATAAAACAAATTACCTATGTACTTTTTATTTTCATTTCATGAACTTTTTTGTAGGTAAATAGAACTTGAAATAACTTGAAATTTAGTAGATTGCTGTCTACCTACTATATATATATAAATAGAAATGTTATTTAAATTATCCAGGTGGTCTAGCGATAGAGTTCTCGCTCTGCAATCGCAAGGTCCAGGGTTCGATTCCCCTAGGAAACTTTTTTTTTTCATTTTTTCTTTATTTTTCTTTTTTTTTTTCATTATTTTTATTTTTTTTTTAATAATTTCGTGCTATAGTCTATCTGTATACAACTCGACAACTGAAAATTTCCGAAACTCGACGTATTGCCTAACAAAACATGTTTCAGGCAATACGTCTCGTATAATCGAAAATTTTCAGTCGTCTAGTTGTATAATGTATGATTATTCACTAGTTCAAGAACGAGAATTTTCGGCACACCATAACCACTTTAAAACACAAAAACAGAAGAGCAAAAAAATTATATATTCCACACATCACCAAATCGCTGGAGCCGACAGCAACAAAAGTAAAAAAAAATAAAATGAAGTATTTATTATCCCCAGGTTTAAATAGAATGTCCGGTATCATTGTTGTATAGGTATGTATTTAAGAAAGTTCTTTTTTAATGTGTAATATAATAGCTTGATTCCTTAAAGTAATTCCAATCAGCCTAATTTTTAGTTAGTGATAGGGTTATTTTATTTATTTAAATATTATCTAAACAAGTTTCATACGTACTTGTAATAAAAATTCCAACGGCTCCAAAAAGAGATAATAAATCTAAGTACTGATATTCTCCAAGTAAAGCCACAATAAGGTTGACAGAAGGCAATAAAGTTACCACCAGCCTGGTACTAGATCTAGCAGCCAAAAATGCACATGTCAACATGCCCATTAAAATAAACATGAAATGCCAAAATATCAAGTAAATTCTGTCGATAGCCATATCTGTTCCTCCTAAGGCTGTCACAATCCAAGTTAGTCTTTCTTCTAGTGACGACCAAGTTCCCCTTACTAGGGTTACTAATTCATGAACTGTCCTATTCATCTCTTGTAAAGTCTTGAACATCGATTTATACTGACTATTAAAATCTTCATGTTGTTGAATAAGCAACCAAGAAGATTGTTCTAAAACAATAAAAATTGGATATTTGTAAGGACTATCAAACATTTAATAATAACAATAATGACTAAATAATTTATTAATAATAATAATAATAATAATAATAATAATAAATAATAATTAATAATAATAATAAATAATAATTAATAATAATAATAAATATTAATAATAATAAATAATAAATAATAATAATAATAAATAATAAATAATAAATAATAAATAATAAATAATAAATAATAAATAATAAATAATAAATAATAAATAATAAATAATAATAATAATAATAATAATAATAATAATAATAATAATAATAATAATAATAATAATAATAATAATAATAATAATAATAATAATAATAATAATAATAATAATAATAATAATAATAATAATAATAATAATAATAATAATAATAATAATAATAATAATAATAATAATAATAATAATAATAATAATAATAATAATAATAATAATAATAATAATAATAATAATAATAATAATAATAATAATAATAATAATAATAATAATAATAATAATAATTAATAATAATAATAATTAATAATAATAATAATTAATAATAATAATAATTAATAATAATAATAATTAATAATAATAATAATAATAATAATAATAATAATAATAATAATAATAATAATAATAATAATAATAATAATAATAATAATAATAATAATAATAATAATAATAATAATAATAATAATAATAAATAAAAAATAATTACTGAGCCAATAACATTCAAGAGAGGAGTCTTCCAAGGCGACTCTCTCAGTCCTCTGTTGTTCTGTATCTCGCTACTTCCTATTTCAGTAAGCCTTCGTAAGACTCGCGGATATGCTTGTGGACCACCTGGTAACCGAACACACAAGGTGACACATCTATTTTATATGGATGATCTGAAGCTTTATGCTACGAGTGACCGAGATTTAAAGCAGTCTCTAAAAGTGGTTGAAGAGTATACCAACGATATAGGTATGGAACTCGGACTGGATAAGTGTGCGGTAATTAAACTTTTTAAAGGCCGAATCCAAGACCAGCCAGACAACGAACAGCTCGCCGATGGAGGCATTTTACGTCATTTGGAGCCCGAAGAGACCTACAAATATCTAGGTATCGATCAAAATCGTATGCATGACACAGATAAAGTAAAAAATGCCTTTCAAAGGAACTACAGAACAAGGCTTCGAAAAATATGGGAATCGGAACTCTCTGGAATCAATAAAGTTGCCGCCACCAACATGCTTGCGGTCCCAATACTTCTCTACTCTTTTGGCGTAATAAAGTGGAGACGAGATGAATTACGAGATATGGATGTAAAGACACGAAAAATGATGACCATGAAAAGAAGCCATCATCCGCGGTCATCGGTTCCCCGTATTTACCTCCCGCGACACCAAGGAGGAAGAGGTCTATTAAGCTTAGAGTGTTTGCACGATAGGATTGTCTTAGGTTTGGCTTGCAAAATTACGAATAGCACGGATCCATTATTACAGCTCGTTCGGGATCATGAAATCGCTAACTGTGGGGCATTTCTTTTTAAAGCAGCGGGCAAAGCGTCAGAGAGGCTTAAGCTTATTTTCTCGATCAATAACGAGAACGATCAATCTCTTACAAGATTAGAACCTCTCTTGGTGAAATCTAAAGCTAAAGCAGCAGAACAGCGGCTGCTACTGGAAGAACATGCAGAAAAAGCACAACATGGGGTATTCTATAGAAATATCGAAGCATTAGAACTTTCGAGGAAACTTACATTCGCTTTCCTTAAATCGGCCGAGCTGAAGTCTGAGACTGAATGTTTCGTAGTAGCATGTCAGGACGGTGTAATAAACACCTTGGTATACCGTAGCCAGTTTTCAGAGGTACCTGACGTGCGATGTAGAGCGTGTCACCAGCACCCTGAAACATTAATGCACTTGTTGTCTGCATGTCCAGTACACGCCCGAACTAGTTATATTCATCGACACAATGCAGCACTTCGGGTACTATACTACCATCTCAGACACGCTTACGGTATAGATGAAACACCAGTGTTGCCGTATGCCCCCGGAGACATCGAAACTGTAATAGACAAGGAAAACTGTCGAATTTATTGGAATTACGCTTTTCCCACCGCCAGACGACTTCAAGCTAATAAACCTGATGTCGTTCTGCTGGATAAGCTGAACAATTCAATGTATGTCATAGAATTTTCAGCCCCAGCAAAAACGAATATAATAGTAAAGGAGAGAGAGAAGCGTGCCAAATACATGGAACTGCTCGGTGAGCTGCGAAGTCTGTACCCAGAGTATAAAATAAATTTGGTTATTATTGTCGGCGTTCTAGGAGGAACTAAGGATTCAATGGTCAAGGAAATCAAAAAAATACCCGCGTGTCGAGATTCATCTGAACAACTTGCGATGAAAATGCAAAAAGCAGTCATCCTTGGGTCTCTCCGTCTGTTGAGACAAATGAATTTGGCTGACAATCACTAACCGAGCGGACGCAAGGAGTGATTGTCGTTTTGAAAGGCCTTTCCACGAAACTTTCTGTGCGTGTCGGAGCCACAGAAACACTTCGTTGGAACCATGATTAAATAATAATTAATAATAATAATAATAATAATAATAATAATAATAATAATAATAATAATAATAATAATAATAATAATAATAATAATAATAATAATAATAATAATAATAATAATAATAATAATAATAATAATAATAATAATAATAATAATAATAATAATAATAATAATAATAATAATAATAATAATAATAATAATAATAATAATAATAATAATAATAATAATAATAATAATAATAATAATAATAATAATAATAATAATAATAATAATAATAATAATAATAATAATAATAATAATAATAATAATAATAATAATAATAATAATAATAATAATAATAATAATAATAATAATAATAATAATAATAATAATAATAATAATAATAATAATAATAATAATAATAATAATAATAATAATAATAATAATAATAATAATAATAATAATAATAATAATAATAATAATAATAATAATAATAATAATAATAATAATAATAATAATAATAATAATAATAATAATAATAATAATAATAATAATAATAATAATAATAATAATAATAATAATAATAATAATAATAATAATAATAATAATAATAATAATAATAATAATAATAATAATAATAATAATAATAATAATAATAATAATAATAATAATAATAATAATAATAATAATAATAATAATAATAATAATAATAATAATAATAATAATAATAATAATAATAATAATAATAATAATAATAATAATAATAATAATAATAATAATAATAATAATAATAATAATAATAATAATAATAATAATAATAATAATAATAATAATAATAATAATAATAATAATAATAATAATAATAATAATAATAATAATAATAATAATAATAATAATAATAATAATAATAATAATAATAATAATAATAATAATAATAATAATAATAATAATAATAATAATAATAATAATAATAATAATAATAATAATAATAATAATAATAATAATAATAATAATAATAATAATAATAATAATAATAATAATAATAATAATAATAATAATAATAATAATAATAATAATAATAATAATAATAATAATAATAATAATAATAATAATAATAATAATAATAATAATAATAATAATAATAATAATAATAATAATAATAATAATAATAATAATAATAATAATAATAATAATAATAATAATAATAATAATAATAATAATAATAATAATAAATAATAATAATAATAATAATAATAATAATAATAATAATAATAATAATAATAATAATAATAATAATAATAATAATAATAACTTAAAAAACTTAAAACACACGCAACTTAAAAAAGTATTCACGGAAAAATACAAAAAGAGAGTACTGAAAATTTTAAATACAAAACTGTCAGCGAAGAATCAGATTGTCGCTCTAAATTCATGGGCAGTACCTGTCTTGACGTACACATTTGGCATCCTGAAATGGTCCGATGCTGATCTAAATGAGCTTGATCGCCTAACCCGACGTCTAATGACCAAATTCCGATGTCTACACCCTAATGCATCGGTCAAGAGAATATATCTCCCCCGAAAAAACGGTGGCCGAGGAATGGTTAACATTTATAAACTATGCAGGACACAGGAGGTAAAACTAAGACAGCGATTGCTTGAGTCGGAAGATAGTCTAATGAGGTTAGCTACCCAAGAAGATCGAGGGTATACACCTCTTAACTTACAGCACCATCATCTTTTGTTTGATATAAGCACAAGACAAGAAGATCAAGAAACATGGGCGGAACGAGCTCTGCACGGAAAATTTCCAAAGAGTCTGGAGTTAGATAACATCGATAAGGCACCATCATTGGCTTGGCTTGACGCTTGTTATCTATATCCGGAAACAGAAGGATTCATAATGGCTATTCAGGACAGAGTTATGAGAACACGAAATTATGAGAAACACTGCCTAAAACTAGAGGTCGAAGACAGATGCAGAAAATGCGGATCAGTGGGCGAAACTATCGAACACATAATAGCAGGATGTCGGTACCTAGCAGACAACGCATACCTAGGACGTCACAACCAAGTTGCCAAGATCATCCACCAACAACTTGCTTTAAACAACGGTCTCCTGAGCTCATGCCCACCTTACTATAAATATCAGCCCGCAGCTGTTCTGGAATCAACAGAAACGGTGCTGTACTGGGATAGGCCAATAACAACGGACAGGACAGTCGACCACAATAGACCAGACATCGTCATTATCGATAAACAAAAGAAAACAGGATTGATCATCGATATAGCTGTACCACTGTCATACAACGTCACTAAAACCGAGACCGAGAAGATCAGGAAATATGAAAATCTGTCATATGAATTAAAGAACATCTGGAAACTAGACGAAGTCTCCATAGTCCCACTGGTGATGTCAGCGGAGGGAATTATATCGAAACACTTCACTAAAAATCTCCAAGATATAGGATTATCAAAAAACATAGTGAGATAT